ATTGCTGATGGAACTGCAAATTGGTGCAACCAATCTGGAAAGCAGTATGGAGATTGCTTAGAAAACTTGGAACGGAACCACCATTTGACGCAGCTACCCGACTCCTTGGTCTATAATAGGTTTATTGACACATAACCCCATCATAAATCAAGACGTGTCTGTACTTTGTCCTCCAGATGTCCTGAACTGTTAACCGTCGCATGACTGCACTGCGGTTTATTTTCTCTCCATGCCAAACATTGCCCCTTCCAGGTTTTCCTCCCACTGGTCCCTTGTCCTTTAGTGTTCAGATCATATTTGCATTTCCTGGACAGTGTTGCCAGTGCTAGAAGTCACCGTTTGTTACACCATTCTACTTGTATAGCCTCCATTATTACACTTACATTCCTTTATTTCTATAGTTTATTTTCCCAGTGAGTCCATCAGGGTCTGCACAGGAAATAGGAAGTACACGCGGAGAAATTTTTTTGCAAATAATTTTACAATGGGACTATTTTCAGAAGTGGATATGGTTAAGACATCAAGTGTTAGATACAGGATCCCAAGTGAGTGTGGAGCCCTAGATGAAAGAATTACAATGGCAGAGAGACTGTCAGAGCTGCCACACCAAAACGATGCTTCTTAACTGACTGAACTGGATCAGAAGCCACAGAGCGAGGAGCCCCAGTGATGCAGCTCACAAAGGTCAACTCTTTGGGACATGGAGCAGGGCAAAGAAAAGTGGTGAATGGATCTGGGGAAAAGGGTGGCAAACAGAGAGAAACTGGCCCACATGTTTCTCTCTCTACTAGATAGAATGTTCCTGAGGGTGAAACCATTTCTCGTGCATTCATGCAGCCTCAGCACCAAGCACAAGTTTGGTCCAAGGTAAGCAATCTATAAATGTCTGTGGAAGCAAACTATAATGTCAGGCCATATACTATATTTATGTTTAATTTAGTATTTAAGGAAAAGCAGGCAAATAAATTGCTTATTATCCATCTTTGGCTCTTTTCGCTCACTTTCACATGGAATTTTTAATACATTTAGCTAATACTAAATTAGATATCATATCTAATTTAAACAATAGCACAACCAGGATGAATCCACTATAAAAGTTAATTGTGGTCATCTTGTTTTGTTGAGTTCAGCCTAATAACAAGAAGCAACACAAACCCAGAAGTAGAAGTATCCATGTGAGGCCAACACAGATAGGAACTGTGAGAACCTCAAAGTATTTCCATTAGTGATGCTTGTCCATCAATCACTCATCATCTTTAGACCCTGGCAGACAGTAGGCAGTTAATAAAAGCTTGTTAACCGTCTTGCATCAGGCAAGCCGGGTTGATTTTTTGAGGTAATCCAGATGCTTTAATGATAGAGATGAGACTGTTGGGTAGGGTGACCAACTGTCCAGGTCAGCCCGGGACTGTTCTAGGATTAGGCACTGATAATCCCTCAAGGCCTGCAACACCCTCAGCCCCAGGCAAATCAATGACAATTGGTCACCCTATAATTAGGTTCAATGAAAAAAAAAAGTACAGATTTTGATTCTTCATGAGGTAGCTTCATTGAGAGGTATTATTGAAAGACAGTTAAGCCATTATAATTCTTTGACAGTTATCTTGAGTTTTTCAAGACTAAACCTCTAACTGGATCTGGTAACTTCACTGATTAATCAATTAAAAGGTCCTAAGACGAACTCTTCACTTCTAGTATTCTCCTAACTCCAATCCTTATAAAATGATTCAATCTAATTAATTTTTCAGGTACAAAACCAAATTGTACTCTGGCATATTTGTAGAGATAAGCCTCCCTTTCCACTAATTTTCCAAGTTTTCAAGATATATTTCCAATCTCCTTCTTCTCTGTAAATTGCAAGTACATTGTTCTAATATTCTACAAGAGGAATATGCAGATATGACTATTTCCCATCTCTGCATAGATTAAGAGGGAAAATGGTGGAGAACAGTTTAAGACTTTTTGCAGCAAGTCTTTATCCCTGAACTTTTGGCTGAACTATAGAAACTCGATATGCAATAAAGTTGCCTGGTGCTTGAACGAGATCAACTCCTTTCACAGTGAGAAGCATCACATATAGACTGATTTATGTGTCCTTTATGGAAGTACAGGAAACATTTAAGCCAGTATATAGTGTTTAAAATTTATGAGAGATTTTAGAAAGAAACGAATTGCTTGACTCTTGGTAGTAAAGGCTGATGCTTCTGAAGCAAATTAAAAAAAAAAAATCCAAATGCTGAGCTCAGTGGCAACATGCAAGTTGGTATTATAATTATCATTCACCAAACAGCAGTTTGCATTTAAGAAGAAGAAGATATAAATCAGAGCTGGGCACAGTGGCACATGCCTGTATTTCCAACTACTTAGGAGGCAGAGACAGAAGGATTGCAAGTTCGAGGCCAGCCTCAGCAGCCTAGGCAGACTGTGGTCCCTGGGTTCAAACCAGTACTGAATAAATAGAAAAGAGAGAGATAAAACAACCACAAAGTTAAAATTTTCGTATGTGATGTAATATTAAGAGAAGGAGCTAATACTAGTGATTTAAATAATTAGTATTAAAAAATCCCTTAGGTATTAGGAATGGAACCCAAGGTCACTCTACCCCAGCCCTTTTTAAATTAATTAATTTTTTTAAATGGGGAAGGGGACAGGATCTAACTAAATTACCCAGGCTGGCTTCTAACTTGCAAACCTGCATTAGCCTTCTGAGTTGCTGACATTGGAGGTGTGTGCCAGTGGGCCCAGGCTTTGTATTGTGTGTGTGTGTGTGTGTGTGTGTGTGTGTGTGTTTTTTTTTTCCTTTTTTGGTGCTGGGGATTGAACTCAGGGCTTTGTGCATTCGAGGACTGAGCTATATCCAACTAAGCTATGTCCCCAGCCCCTTCATTAATAATGTTTAAGATTATGGCAGTCACTGACATTTTCATCATTTTTGGTGATGAAAATAAATTATTCTAATCTTCTGAAGAGCAATATAGTAATTCTTGATACCAAAATCTGAGGATGGTCAAGTCCCTTATAAAATGGCTTAGTACTTGCATATAATCAAGCTTATCCTTCCACATACAGTTGACTCTTGAACAACACAGAAGTTAGGAGCTCTGACCCCTTGTGCAGTCAAAACTCTGTGTATAACTTTTGATTTGCCCCAAACTTAACTACTAACTTAACTGCTATTGTCTGGAAGCTTTACTGATAACATAAGCAGTTGATTCACACATATTTGGTATGTGATGTGGATTATATACAGTGAATAATACTCAAAACCTTTAATGGTTCCCCCCACCCACCCCATGCTAGGGATCAAACCCAGAGTTTGCCTTGAGCATGCTAGGCAACGGCTCTGGCCCCTGTTCTTTCTGTTTTATTTTGAAACAGGATCTCACTAAATTGTCCAGGATGATCTTGAACTTGTGATCCCCCTGCCTCTGTCTCCCAAGAAGTAGCTGGGATTTCAGGTGTGAACCAAAGTATTGGCAACAAGACATACTTTTTTTGTTTTGTTTTGTTTTGGTACCAGGGATGGAACTCAGGGCCTTGCTCGTGTTATGTAGATGTTCTACCATTGAACTACATCTACAGCTCAAGAAACAACTAAAAAATTTATTGTTTTGATCATTAGTTGGTTGAATCCATGGACAAAGTAGGTTTCTAAAGTAGGTTTCTAAAGTTTGAATGCATGTATCTAAACATTTTAAATCACTATCATTTGAAAAAGAGCTAATAGTGAGAGCTTTCTTTATTGAGTATCTTCTACTGTACCAGCCACCCTGTTGACATAAAATCTCATGTAATCCTTTTAACTCTATGAGTATTAACCAACCCTATTCCATAGAAAAAGAAAAGAAAGGCTGGGGAGTATGGCTCAGGAGAGCCTCCCTAGCATGCTCAAGGATTTGGGTTCCATTCCCAGCACCCCATCCAAAGATAAATAAAACAAGGATCAGAGAGATTAAGGACTATGGCCAATATCACAGAACTATTAAGCTAGAGAACTATTAAGATAGAATTCCACTGAATGCAGGTCTCTTTCTTTCTACTAAATTATGTAATTACCTTAAATACAAAAACACTGAATGATATGTCAAAGTACCATTCTGACAAGTCTATTAGTTAGCTTTTCTCTGTGTAATTGTACTGATTTTGCTGATTAACAATAAAGTTAAATAAGAAATCTTAGGTGGCATTGTAAAATCTGTGAGAATCATGCTTTTTGTATATTATAAGGGTATGTTTACCTCTAGTGATCACTGAATGGTACTTGCTAATTGTACTCATTTTATTAACGTATTTCGATTTCTGAAAAACTTGCCAAAAACTGTTAAAAGAGAACAATGGACATATTTTTAAAGTTTAGCAAATCAAAACAACATGGGCACATGCTAAAGATTAATTTGGAATCATTTACATATATGGCATTCTGGGGAGGAAAAAGAGAGGATTTTTTTTTTTTAAGTGTAGAAAAAGGAATGCAACCTATTTCTTGCAAGGGCATAGGAGTGGATCTCATATTCTCACACATGGCTTTGTTTTCAAATTCTTGAAAGTGCAGAAATTCTTTTAATTTAAAGGTGAGCCCATGGAAAATCTGGACCAGCTGTAGCAAACCTTCCAGGAACTCAGTGTCACAGCTACTTTTTTGGTAGACATCACCCCAGGGTGATCTGACCCTGTGTTCCCCACTGTTCTGAATTATCAAAGAGAGGCACTTCTGTCCCCATGGCCAGAAGTGAGATGCTTCCATGGAAGTAATTGTCTCATTAGCTGATACTGCCTGAAGGATGCTGAGGGTAGGGAGAAACCCAGGCAACCTGGAGATTCAAGAGAGATTCTAGGATATCCCAGGAAGGAGGAAGATTTAGAAAGGGTCTAAATTCAGTTCATTACACAGTAAGACTTGGGAAGCAGCCATATCTCAATGCATTATTTGAGGAACCTGGAAAAATAGATCACTATGACTTTCTTCAAGGTCATGCAAAGTTTAAGTGAATTTTACTAACCTGCATTCCAACGTGTCCTTTTCTATCCATTCATTTCCCATGGTAGTTCATCATTTCGTATTTATGGCATTTTTATTGGGTAACAACATCTCATCTCTTCTTGGTAAATCGGGCTGCCGCCTATCTCTGGAAACTTTCCCACCCCTGGCTGTCAGGAATTGAGGGGTTGCATCAGTGTTGAGAGGGAAGTTTGAAAGTCTTGTTCTTGAGTGAGGCAGGTGAAAGTGGCCTTATTAATTTTTCTGTTTTCTATGTCCAGAGGAAAGTACCAAGGAGAGAAAAAAAAAAAAAAAAAAAAACATAACAGAGCACCAAGTTGCCCACTAGGGAGATTTGTGGATTGAAAGTAGGCTAAGCCGGAGTAATCAGCCTTGTGTAGCCATAAATAGAACCTTCAGCTCATTTCATTAGCCTCAGTTATCTAGGACCTAGCAGGATGGTAATAAAAACCAGTGGGCTCATCCAGGGTTTCCTGAAAAGATGATTTTAGCAAGCTGGGCTGAGAATTCCACGCACTGCCTTGATATCTGGGTGCCAGAGTGATTATTTTTCTGCTAGGTTTTTGCCAACGGTTTTGTATGGATGGTGGGTCTCCCCTGCGTCTACCACCTCCTCCTGGAGGTTTTGAAAAAGCCAAGCCATAAATCGCAATAACCCAGTAGGTTGCCTGAGTTTTGCTGGCAGCCTCTGAAGCAGCCATTTCCATTTCCTCTGGCAAGAACAGGGAGTGGCTTTGTTCTGAGCAAGCCAAAGAGGCCGGCCATCCGCCTTGCGGGCTGCCCAGCTGGGCTTGACAGCGCCTTTCTCTGGATCTCGGGAGAAATGGGCAGCTGCGGTGAGGACAGAAATCTCTCTGGCTTGTGGGACGTTATCCCTCATCTGTCACTCAAAAGATGCGCTGGAGGGCTGCCCACGGGAGGAACTGCTTCCACTGCAATCGCCCACATTGTGGGCACCTGGCTGCGCGGCCCAACCTGCTGCCAGGGGTAGGCGGGCAACAGTGGGCGGGGCCTGCGGAAACCCCGCCTCCCGCAGAGGCAGTGTCTCTCCAGCCAAGGGTGGATGGATGTCAGGAAGAAATGTGGACCTACTGTGGAAAAAGCATCTAGTTTTTCAAAAACCCAGAAATACGAATATTTATGTGAGATCCCTGATTTTTTAAACTGGGCAATCTGCTATGGTTTGGATCAGTGTCCCCCAAAGGCTCCCGTGTTACAGGCTTGGTCGCCTAGAGGAGGTCTTTGCATGAGCCCTGGAAGGAGGCTGTGGCCCCTCATCTCTGACTTTCTCTCTGTTCCTAAAGATATAGTTACATGCTGGCTCCCACTTAAAATAGCCATTGCTATCTTCCACGTTGCATGATGCAAGGGCATGCCAACACCACCCTCTTGAAGTTCCAACACTGTGAACTAAATTTCTCTTTACTTTATAAGTAGCCTGTCCTGGGTATTTTGCTGGAGTAATGCAAAGGTGACTGAGACACACTACCTAACTCAATTGAAAAAACAAAACAAAACATGCAAAAAATAATAATAAGATGGCAAATCCTCAGACAATATATACAATGCCTTGCTCAATTAAAAAAAAGGGCACTCTCTAGGCAGATAAGGGAGAGGGGCGATTTGTGCCTATGTGCCAAGTAAAAGGTACCTCTGAGTAGTTGCTCCCTGTGCAGGGAGATGGGCTAAATGAGTGGGCAATGGCTGGATTTTAGCTTCTGCTTGCAGGTTGGCTAGGGACTTCATTTAGGGACACCCTGAACAGCTGCAGCGGATGTAGCTGCCAAGTGCATCAGTGTAAGCCAAATTCTGTCCCTGAGCTCACAAACTCTGGATGATGGAAGAGGTAGCTAGGGAGCAGAGAAGCCAATACAAACTGCAAGTCCATGCTTGCTAAGGGGCCATACAATTTTAAAATATTTTCCCCCATTGGATCCCAATCTAATGGATCCCAACCTTAGTTCTGGATGGTGAATGTTGGATCAGCATGCACATTTATTTTAGGTAGTATTTTGCTGAGATTGTTGTACTCTATGTGTGAAAAGATGTACTTATTTATCTATCTTCTCTCTCTCTCTCTCTCTCTCTTTTTTTTTTTTTTTGTGGTGCTGGGGATT